CGCAATTGACAATTTTAATCAATCGATCGGTCAATCAATGGAGAAAGTATGAAGTAAGAAGTCATTATTGCATTCTGGTACATCTATAATAAACGATAAACAACTACATTGTAGTGCACATTAGTGTGACTTGAGGTTGATTTCTATGGTCGTGTAAATCCAACTACAATCAGAGACAAAATTAGCTGAGACACTGCTTCCCCTCCCCCTTTGCCAATGTCATTATCACGTGACATCATTGACAAAGTCTGTTTCGACATGGACTGCACATTAAATTAATACCTTACAGAATTGTTGTATGTTGAATCATTCGTGAATTCAAGGGTTGGAAGAACAGGAAACCTGTTACAAGAACAGGAAAACAAGAAACCGTGGAAAGTGCTTGGGAGATGCTGGTTTGGTTTCGCACTAAATTGGCGAGAAAAAATAATACTGTCGCTTCCATTGGTTCTCGAGCAAATATGGACATTCTAGTTAAATAAGAACGAGTGACAAGTGTAAAACAGTTTTACCAACATAAGTCATATATGAGACAATTTCTCTTGACTCTGTGGAATTATACTACAGGTAATGTGGAAGTTATCATGTCCGTTAGAAATATAATTTTAACATCGTACATTTGAAACAATCAAAATGGGAAGAGGTTCATGGAAGTTACGATAGCCTCCAATAAAAAAAAAATTCTGCTTATTCCACGTGGAATGCTACAGGGTAACAAGATACAACATTACGCAAATCAGTCTGTACTTTGTTCGTTGAATAGGTCCTGCAAGTCACTGGAGCTAACTCACCACGGGATTTAAACATAATTATGGCTTTTTGTTTCGTTCTTCTTACTGCTAGTTTGGTTTGTCCCATTTAAGTGTTTCGAGAAGGAAACTTGAGTCAGTTTCATTATTTGCCTTTAAAAATTCCTCTGGCTGCACGGTTTTGTGATTTTTCTAGTTTGTCACTCAATTGATTACTACGTCATCCCAGACGGGGCTACAGAATTCAAAGTGAGGTTGGATTAAGGCGTTATAAATTAGTACAGCAGTAGATTGGGAGATGAGGGGCTTGACACGCCTTAGTGCACCTGTTGCCGAAAGTACCTCTTTACTCACTTCGTTGACATCAATAGACCGGGAAAGCCGATCGTCGATAATCAGACCTAATGATTTGCGTGATTAACTCTACTGATTAGCTGGTTTGCTAATTTGATGTTTACTTTATTTTAATTTATTTATAGTGTCTCCATTTCGGGGTTATTTACTGCTATTTTAGTTTGGCAAGAAGTTTCTGGCGAGAGCCAACGACCATAAACTCAGTTCTAACACAGGAGTTCCAAGATTAAGAACCCATTGGGAGGCCAATACTCTTCAAGGTTTTTTGGGGAAGTGTTTCTCTCCCCCCCCCCCCCCCCCCCCCCCCCCCCCCCCCCCCCCNACTGCAATAACTGGGGGTTTATTAGAATCTAAAGTGATCATGAAAATGAAGATACGTGTGGCTAAAGAAACTAGAATGAGACATTATTGTTTGTTGAACACTTTTGTAGCAATTTTCATTGGCGTATGTTTGTGATTCCGAGAAATCGACTGGAGATACCACAAACCCTGTTACAGCAATTTTCTGTGATTCCGAGAAAGCCAGATTTAATGTCGTCTGTAAACACTGACCTTTCTGTTGCTGAAGCCAAAGTTATTTAAGAACTGTATCACGCAAGACGTTTGTTTGTACAGGAATGTTAATTTCCGCAGGATTTATTAATATTGTGACTTAAGCAAGGAATATTTGTCATTAAAAGCACCTCGTTGTTAAAATTGGTCGTACTTCTTTTGAGTAGTAAACGCGTGCGATAGCGTGAGTATTGCGTTGATGATATCGTGAGTAAGATGATGAGACAAGGTGACTTTGCGTGAACTCACACTGTACAACAGCTGATTGTGTTTTTAACATCACAGTCATGCCATCGTGTTACTGTCCTGGTTTTCTCCATTGTGCGTCCTATGGAACTGTGCAAATTGTATTCTATTTACAGATCAGGTTTCCTAGCATTGTTGTCTCCCGCAAGACGTTTGTTAGTGAAGAAGATTGATTTTCCCAGGATTTCATAACTGCGTCTCAAACAACGAATATTTACCACGAAAGCTTCCTAGCCGCTAAACTTGGCCTTGACTGTATTGAGTGTCTTGCGAGGTAATTGCCCGATAGCTAAGAGTTTTGTTGATGATATCGTGAATAACATGATGACACAAGGTGAGTTCGCGTGAAGCTAAGTACAACAACCGATTGGGTTTTTAAACATCACAGTCACGCT